TAATGAATCTACGGTAGAAGTTAGCAAAGCCCAAAAATCGTTGAAGTTGCTTACGGGTGGTGGGTGTGGGCCATTCCGTCACTGCCCGGATCTTCTCGGGGTCCGCCTTCACCTGCCCGCTCTCAATTATGAATCCAAGGAATGATGTAGACTGTTTGTGGAACTCACACTTCTCTGCTTTGACGTACAGCTTGTTCTCCAAGAGCCGTTGAAGGACTTGACGGACGTGTGACTCATGCTCCTCGGGTGACTTGGAAAAAACAAGAATATCATCCAGGTATACAAAGACAAAACGGTTCAAAAAATCCCTAAGAACATCGTTCACCATGGCTTGGAAAACCGCAGGGGCATTTGAGAGCCCAAAGGGCATGACCAAATACTCAAAATGTCCCAGTGGAGTGTTGAAAGCGGTTTTCCACTCATCTCCCTTTCGGATTCGGACAAGGTGATAAGCATTCCTGAGGTCGAGCTTGGAAAACACTGTGGCGCCATGCAGAGGTTCAAAAGCTGAGTTGATGAGTGGAAGGGGATACTTGTTTTTAACAGTTATGTTGTTTAAACCCCTGAAATCGATACAGGGGCGTAACGACTTGTCCTTCTTTTCCACGAAAAAGAAACCTGCACCCAAAGGAGACGACGAGGGACGGATTATGCCCGAGACCAGAGAATCACCAATGTACTGCTCCATTGCCTCTCTTTCCGGTCGGGACAGATTGTATAACCGACTAGAGGGCAAGGGAGCACCAGGAAGCAGTTCAATAGGGCAATCATAAGGCCTATGTGGTGGTAGAGACAGAGCCTTGTCCTTACTGAAAACCTCCGCTAAGTCATGGTATTCTTTGGGGACAGATGACAGATCAAGAGGAGCTGAGGGAGGAGTTGGGTTACACTTAGTGGGGGGAACCGCTGACCTCAGGCACTCGGAATGGCAGTTAGTGCTCCAACTGAGAATGGTGTGACGTGTCCAATCAATTTTTGGGTTGTGAAGAGCCAACCAGGGGAAGCCAAGGATTAGGGAGGTAGCTGAGCCAGACATAACTCTTAGCTGAATGCTTTCACAATGATTGCCAGAAATCACTAGGGAAACGGGGGTGGTTTGATGAGTTATCTCCGCGAGGAGGCGCCCATCAAGGGCTGTGACCCGAATGGGGGTAGGTAGTGGCTCCATGGGGATACGAGCTTGTGTAACGAACTGGTGGCTAATAAAGTTGTCTTCTGCACCTGAGTCTATGAGAGCTGAGAGTGGCAGGGAATGACTCTGGAAACGTAAGGTTACAGGTACTTGTAATCGGGGAATGACGGGTTCCGGATCTAACTCTGGGCTCGCAAGTAGACCCACCGTAATGAGTGAGCCTTGTCTTTTGGGTCGCTTAGAGCATGTAGCCAGAATGTGTGTGTCGTCTCCACAGTACAGGCACTCACCTGCCTGGAGGCGCCGTTGCCGCTCTGCTGGAGGTAGTTGAGCTCGACCCACTTGCATTGGTTCCTCCTCTGTGCTCGGGATGGGATCAGGAACAAGAAGCTGCCGGCTCCGGGGAGGCGAGACTCGAGTGGTTGAAGGCTGGGGAACTCGTCCTCCTAGATGTGGCCGATCGCCTCTCTCCCGACGCCTCTCCCGCAACCGATTGTCTAGCTTAATGGACAGGGAAACGAGAGAATGTAAATCATGTGGCTCATCACGAGCAGCCAGTTCATCCTTAATGGCTTCATTCAAACCGTTTAGAAATGCTCCTTGAAGTGCCACATTGTTCCACTTGGAGTCCGCTGCCAACGTCCAGAACTCAATAGAGTACTCTGCCACACTGTTAGAACCCTGCCTCAAATTAAAAAGTATCTTGGAGGAATTACCCACATGGTCAGGATGGTCAAAAACAGTCTTCAATTTAGCAGAGAAATCAGCAAAAGTCAATCCAGTCAAAGTTTGATCTGAGCACACAGCCTCAGCCCAAACCAGAGCTTTCCCTCTTAACAGCCCCAGAACATAATGTACCTTAGATGAATCAGTAGAAAACGACAGTGGTCTCTGCCGAAAAATCAAGTCACACTGAAGCAAAAATCCCCGGCACTTGTCCAATTCTCCATTGAACGGTTCAGGCGACGTGACAGGGGGTTCCCGACGGAACGAAGCCTGCCTAATGTCCGAGGAAACAACTTGGGGTGCATCAAACTGGGGGTCAGAGAGAGATGGAGAACTGATAACAGACAATTTAGAGACTTGTGTAGTTAACTGAGTCACCTGGTTCAGCAGTTGATGATTATCTTCCACAAGAATCCGAATCAATTGGTCATGCTGTCCTAGCAACGTTCCTTGAGCCTGGATAGCTTGTTGGAAGCTGTCTTTGTTTGCCCCGTGCTGTTTCTCTGTTGGGTCCATGGCCAGATCGTTCTGTTAAGGCTATGGTTCAACCCAGCACTCAGAGAAACAAACACGACAACAGGAGTGGAAGAAATACAAATTATTTTAATAAAAGTTCAAAGTGTCTTAGTCCAAAAATCAACTGAAGAAAAGGAACAGAGTGGGCTAGTCGGCTCCGGAGGAAGGAGAGGCTGAGGCAGGCAGGCAGACCAGCAGGCGGGAAGGCAGGCAGGCAGGTTGGGAGGTATGTCTGCACTGAAGACAAAACAAACGACAAGTTATGGAGAGTACAGAGCCAGGCTGAAGACAAAGACAAAATAATACTACTGGTGAGCCAAGTTACCGCTCTGGTAAGAACAACGATCTGGCGCCGGTGGAGAGCCATGCCCAGGAATAAGTAGTGCAGGTTGATGAGAGAATAGGATGCAGCTGCGTAGGCAGGAATTACTGGAAACAACCCGCAGCTGCACAGGAGAGGCAGATCCTGAGCACGCCCCCTGATCCACTCCAGACACACCCACATAAAGGGGACAAACACACATACAGATACAACAGAAAAAGAGGGGACAAAACAAGGAGGAAGGGAAACAGAAAAGGGAGAGACAAGCTGCCCACATAACATAAAGTGACTAGGCAACAGGATAGATAAAACAGTAGCATCAGCGTATGTGTCAAAATAGTCAATGCAGATAGTCCGGGTAGCTATTTAACTATTAGCAGTCTTATGGCTTGGGGGTAGAAGCTGTTCAGGGTCCTGTTGGTTCTAGACTTGGTGCATCGGTACCGCTTGCCTTGCGGTAGCAGAGAGAACAGTCTATGACTTGGGTGGCTGGAGTCGTTGATAATTTTTAGGGCCTTCCTCTGACACCACCTGGTATAGAGGTCCTGGATGGCAGGGAGCTCGGCCCCAGTGATTTACTGGGCCGTACGCACTACCCTTTGTAGCGCGTTGCGGTCAGATGCTGAGCAGTTGCCATACCAAGCGGTGATGCAGCATGTCAAGATGCTCTCAATGGTTCAACTGTAGAACTTTTGGAGGATCTGAGGGCCCATGCCAAATCTTTTCAGGCTCCTGAGGGGGAAGAGGAGTTGTCGTGCCCTCTTCACGACCATGTTGGTGTGTGTGGACCATGATAATTCCTTAGTGATGTGGACACAGAGGAACGTGAAGCTCTTGACCTGCTCCACTGCAGTTCCGTCGATGTGGCTGGGGGCTTGCTTGGCCGTCTGTTTCCTGTAGTCCACTATCAGCACCTTTGTCTTGCTAATTTTGAGGGAGAGGTTGTTGTCCTGGCACCACATGGCACCACAAACTGTGATGTGCACACTTGCAAAAACATTTAAATACACTCACATAGTCAGGAATCGTGAATTTGCCCCAAGGTGTGAAAATGCTGGATACAAGGATAAAGCGAACAAATTCTATACTTTAAAAAGGTTTAATAGACAGACAGACAGACAGGTGCAACGGGAGACAGATACGATCCTCAGAGTCTTGCAGCAATCTACAAGTGAAGGACAAACCTCTCGTTATATGCTCATTCCTTATCTGTTCGTTCCCTCAGTGCCAGGCCCATACCATAACAACAGTCAGAGCTGGGTCAGAGTGAACCATAGAATAATCCATCATTTGGATGGGCCTTTAGCTGAGTTACAGCCACAGGCCTAAGCCTCAGGAGAAGGTCTCTCAGGGTGCTAAGTCTTGATTTATAGTGACCCTTAACCTCAGAGGGAGGTCATCCAGAGGCCACTACACGCGCACACACACACACACACACACACACACAAACACACACACACACACAGCTATGTTTTACTATACTTGTGAGGACTTTTTGGGGACCAACAATTGATTCCCATTAAAAATCCTATTTTCAATAACCCTAATCTTAACCCTAATCCTAAACCTAACCATAACTCCTGACCCTAAACCTAACCCTAATTTGAACGCTAATTCTAACGCTAACCCTAACCCCTAAGCCTAAAATAGCCTTTTTACAAGTGAGGGCTGGCCTCACTTGTCTGAATTTTTGTTGGTTTACTCTTCTTGTGAGGACTTCTGTTACTCACAAGTATAGTAAAACATGCACACACACACCCACACACACATACACAACACCCACCCTCCTTCCTGACTCCAATGGCTCTGTCTCCCCAGATGAGGAGAGCAAGGCATTGGTGGATAAGGTGATGACTGTAGTCAGGGGCGGAAAGTCGAATTGAATTGAACTGAACTGAATGCAACATTAAGTCAGTTTGCTCTCCTCCTGTCTGTCTCCACTGTCAGCCAGAGCCCATCCAGGCCCTGATCCCACTGAGCATGCCCGATGCCAACACCAGGAGGCTTAACGTGCAGAGAGTCACTCAGGAGTACGAGGCTGAGTACAATGTGTGCAAGTGTAAAGGGCTCTACACAGTCTACGCAAACGGAGCGGACGGAGATCCTTCGGCTTCATTTGCGTAGACCCCTTAAGCCACGCCACAACGGGAGCACCCTGGCCCTGCTGGATAGGAAGCCAGGCACAGCCACAGACATGCACATGCATTAACACGTACGCACGCACAAACAGTGTCCTATGTATATAGTTTAAACACTGTTTTCTTCTTCAGATAAGAATACTAAAAACCCTGTGGAGAGTGTTCCTCAGGAGGGGAACTGGTCATGTTGGGCAGCAGTGAAGGAAAACGTACCAGGATCTACAGCTGCAACACACAAGGCTTCACTGGCGCCACCTGCAGGGGAAACACAGTCAGTAAAGACTACTGCTGAACAGACTCATACACATACGTTTTGATGACACAGCATAACAAACTGACACCCTTATCTATATTGACAAAGTCAGAAAGGAGTTAAAATACATATTTTACACACTTGTTCGCACGCACGCACGCACAAGCACTCACACACACACATACACACACACACACACACACAAATGCCTATTTAATTTTGTGATAGGAAGAATTGTATCAACTCCCTTGAGGTAGGCCTAGTTGTGTTCTACAAATAAACATTTTCCAATAAAGTTTGACCTCTTAAGTGCATCAAAACATGATCCAATGACATTACGCATGATACATTCTTCCTAATCTCAACAATGTGTTCCCTATGGTGGACTGTGAACTGGAGTAGCCGTCTTGTGGCTAACAGTGGTTAATACTATTCATACGGTCCTTAGAGACCTTAGGTACAGTATGTTACTAATCATCATGCATATCATTCAAAACCTCATGATCTTGGGAATTTAGGAAAATGCCATATAACATCTTGAAATGCTAATGTATTTTATCCCATTCGACTTAATAAACCAAAACCTATCATTATGGTTTGGCATTCATAATATTATGATCCTAACTTTAGGAAACAAAACAGTATCTAGAACCATAATATTCTCATATTAAAATATATATAAGCAGTTGAATATATTATTGTTAGAGTTTCCATAAAGAAGTTATCCTCTTTTTTCTACTAAGGAAATTTAAATAATGGCACTGGAGGGCCATTTACAGTACATTTAGAGAGGAAAATATGCCATTAAATCTGATCAGCCCCTTGATATCACAAACAGAAAAAGATAACTAACATTTCAAACTAATTTTCCAAAACCGAGGAATCTTTCATGTAACCTACTTTCCAAGTATGCATGAAACCATACTAAACGAAGTAATCCAAAACAGCCATGTTCCTTATCTAAAACACAGTGCTGTACTGCTGTGTGTCTTTCCACTTTGGCCAACTTCAAATTGTGTTGGGTAAAGTATGTATTAATGGCGTAATAACTCATCTTTAAAAACATGGCCACATTCCAAGCAGCTACGCCAGTGGAAATGAGAAACAGATGAGCTGAAGCTTCAGAGAGAGATAGAGAGCGAAAGAGAGAAAGAGAGGGGGGGGGGGGGACGACAGAGAATTGAGATCTGGACAGGACATGGAGACTGATGAATGAAGGTGCTTGAGATTCAAAGATGGTTTATCTTGACATGGACAGGGGGTAAAGAAGATATCTAATGGTGTATAGAGATATCAAGACCCCATAAATTAAGTTTGCAGTAATCTTTGGCTAACATTAAGTATGCATACAAAGAGAGCATTCTTTCTATATGAACATATTTGGGTATTACCTCTCACATAGGCATGTTTCTCATTTGGCACAAGTCTGAACTGGTAACAGCAGGGCTCCTAGAACAAACTAGAACCAGACAGGCCAGGTCGAAAATATTTTCCTGATCCTGATCCTCTCCCGCTGGTCTCTGTGTCCTGCTGGATATAACCTGAATGGCGATTTATCTGTGGTTTCACAACCAAAAGGATTGAAAGTGACAGTGGATGTTGAGGAGGCAGAATGATCTCCCCGTTGTTTTTACCCTCTGGTCATCACAGTACTGATACACAGACTCATGCTGCGAATGGCCTACACACACATATGGTACACACACACGTACGCATACACACAAACACACACACACACAAACACACATCCACGCACAGACACGTTCCTTTAACAACCACAGGGTAATAACCCTGTTACTACATAGCACTTCACTGTCAAGGCCATTTTACCTTTGTTTAAGCCTCTGCTAACAACCACAAATGTCCTGCCCCATTTTGTGACTTAGTGTATCTGCTTCCATCGGAGAGCTGTGAACAAAGCTATTAGCACTGGGCTAATGTTCCTAGATCCTGCTCTCACAATGGGTAGAAGGGGCTTGAGATGAACTGTGATATTTGCCTAGCTCAGCTGGCTTTGATTTGCCTGTTTGCTCTCGGATTTAAATTGAGTCATTTACCGTCAACACTGCAGGCATGACTGAAGATCCCTGCGCCTGAGCCAAGCTTGTTAAACAAACAGTGGTGGAGTGGTGGAGAGTGGAGAGAAAGGGGGAGGAATAGAGAAAGAAGGGGGAGGGAGGGAAAGAGAGAGAGAGAGAGAGAGAGAGAGAGATAGAGAGAGAGAGAGAGAGAGAGAGAGAGAGAGAGAGAGAGAGAGAGAGAGAGAGAGAAAATGTGGGGGTGTCAAAGTGTCATTCTGCTTACAAAAGCATGAGAGTGCTGGCTGCCACAGTTGCACAGTAATACATCAAATGAACTGCAGTGCAGCAGCATACCTTAAAAGTATGTGTTTATAACACATTTAAAACACTGGCATGAGATCTTGTAGGCGAGCTTTTCAATGTGATCACTTCTCCATTGCTGTAATGGTTAGGTATGCATGGAACAGTCTTATCACCCTCATATCCTGAGTTGCTTATCTTGTTTCAATAGACTCTCTGACTCTTCTTAAAAGCCACATACACTTTTGGCCTCAGTCTTATATCAACCTTGTCCTCTCTCTCTCTCTCTCTCTCTCTCTCTCTCCACCCAAACTCTATTGTTCTTTCCTCTTATAATTCCATGCCATCTATCTCTTATATCCAGTGTCTCTCCCTTCCTCTCTCTATCACTCCATCTCTTCCCCTCTCAAGGGTCTGACCTGCAGTTTGTTTTTCAAAAATAACACCATCGATCCTCCCTCGCTTTATCGCAAAATGAAAAAGCCACAGAGCATAGAGGAGGGAGAGAGAGAGAGGGAGGAATGTGTGATGGATGAATACCTAGTAGACAGCAGCTAGGGGTGGTGGCCCCTGGCCCTCAGGATGTCAGGATAATGGAGTAAAGCTTTGAGCCCCCATTCAGCCCTATTCACTGCCGACAGCACCCCAGCCTCGAGCCATTATCTTAGGTTAACAACATGGTTAGCACAAAATAATGAACCTCTCGCCATCGATAGACTCTCCCAGTTCTCTGTTTACTCATGTTTTTTTATATTGGTTAATCGTTGAGCACGCAAAAGGGAAAAACGACTTTGAAACGTTATTTGAAAGGAGAGTGTAGTTGTGGGAGTTGTTTTTCTAACGTTCTGTTTTTATGCTAAAACATGTTGGTTATGTTATAATGGGCAATCTGAAAGTGTGAGGTTGGTTTAGTGATTTAGTGACATGAGTTTGAGGGAAAGGAGAAGTTAAAAACCTTTACTACAAAACTTTTCTTGATTCCATAACGACACAAAAAACATGTATAGCAACAGCAAGTGCACAATGTGAAAACAGGTCAAATGACAAGACAAAATGTAACATCTGTATCTCAACGAATGGTAGGGTCATTTACTTCAAAATGAAATAGACAACAATCATTATTTCACAAAAATTATCACACACACAAATCCCATTTAGGTGCCTATGTATCTTGGTTGAAATTATGTGGGTCCTTATAGGCTGTATAAAGCCATATTCCACATCAGAATATATTATTTTAATGTTTGTACATTTTCCAAACAACAATTTGCAACTTACAGAATGGTGACAATATCTAAAAGTAAAATAAAATAAAGGTAATCTAACTTTCCCAAAAATATTTTCCCAAGATCAAAACTCTTGCATATAGGGATGTGTGTGATTGTTTCCCAGCTCATTGATCAAACAGCTATAGAACTAAGGCATGAATTCTAAGTTTGCTTTAAAAAATGACCCATTGTTGTCTCCTTGCGTCATTGGACCTAAACACACAGGCCCCCATATTATCAGACGTTCTCCTCTCAGAGAGGTAAAGGGGGGTATATATTTCTTTAAGACAAACCCCTGAATGGTGTGAAAGGGGCTCCACTCCCTGGTCCTCTCCTCTAAACGGCTGGACACAGTTGGAGTCTCCCCCCTGGGGTCAGTGAAGCCATTGATGTTTTAGAGCGCCGCCATGGCAGATTACTGCGCACAGCTGTCCCAGCACCGTGGAAATGAAGTTATGCCCTGTGTCAGCAATGTTTTGTGTTCCTTCCTCCTCCTCTATCCTCTTACTCTACCCCCAGCCCAAACTCAAAACCTACACTTCACTCCCCACTCCCTTGGTCCTTTCAAAACTTTTGCGTACCTCTATTCGTCTTCTCTGGCCCAGGACGCAGGAGGGAGCGGCAGGAACGAGAAATCAATCAGGGCGCCCCGCTGAGCGCCAACATCCAGAGATCCCTTGGTTAGGAGAAGTTATCTGCTTGGCCGGGGTGAATATCCTCCTTCTTTATCTGTGTCCAAAATGGCACCCTATTCCCTATCTAGTGCACTACTTTTGACCAGAGCCCTATCCTATTCCCTATGTAGTGAAAGTAGTGCAGTACACAGGGAATAGGGTGCCATTTGGGACACAGCCTGTGTGTCAGCATCATCATTCAGAGAGGTCTGAACTCAACAACATTCAACCTCCGCCCCCCTCTCCCTCTACACACCCCAGTCCGTCACTCCTCAAACTCCCAACCCTTCCCCCATGCACTTAACAACCATAAATCAGCCCATCCCCCACTGTAACCCCCCTCTCACCTCTCCTAAAGCTCAGGGTGAACCAGGCAGCGCCCTTCCTAACCCCCCTATAGCCTCCACAGACCTCAGTTGGCCGCTGCGGTGGGGTTTACGTACTCAGTTTGTCTGTGGGTGAGTTTGTTTATTCTCTGGTCAGTTCTGAGAGGTTTAAGTAGTCAAGACTACTGGCAGACACCCCGTCCACAAGACGTGGTGTGGTTTAATACAGTCATGACAAGCAAATATGTGTCAATGAAAGAGGAAAAGCAGTGGGAGAAAATGTACTCAATTGTTATACTTGAGTAAAAGTAAAGATACCTTAATAGAAAATTACTCACGTAAAATACCCAGTAAAATACTACTTGATTAAAAGTCTGAAAGTATTTGGTTTTAAATATACTTAAATGTAACTGCTAAAATATACTTAAGTATCAAAAGTAAAAGTATAAATAATTTAAAATTCCCTATATTAAGCAAACCACACGGCACAATTGTCTTGTTTTATTATTTACGGATAGCCAGGGCACACTCCAACACTTAGACATAATTTACAAATGAAGCATTTGTGTTTAGTGAGCCCACCAGATCAGTGGCAGTAGGGACGACCAGGGATGTTCTCTTGATAAGTGCATGAATTGGACAATTTTCCTGTCCTGCTAAGCATTCAAAATGTAATGAGTGCTTTTTGGTGTCAGGGAAAATGTATGGAGTAAAACCTTGGTTTGACTGTAGTGAAGCAAACGTAAAAGTAATCAAAAATATAAATAGTAAAGTACAGACACCAAAAAAAAACTACTTAAGTAGTTCTTTAAAGTATTTTTACACCACTGAGGAAAAGTTACCCCTAAGTCCTAAGATCTTGCATTTAAACAAATATAATTTACTGTAGCATGTTTATACAGTATATTTAGAAAACCTTACACACTTGCTTTATACTTTAAAGTTCAATTTCAAATCAGCATGGTTTCTAAGATAGGCTGACTGTTTACACATGACTAGGAAACCAACCTTCTCTTTGAGAGCAACTTAAATCTTACCTTTCCCCCTCTTTTTTTACTTTTTCTCCCCATCTCGCTTCACATGAGGCACAAGGAAGTCTAACTGGATTAGAGACAGTTTCCCTTTTTTCAAAAGCCGGTGAACTCAGAAAGGACTTGACGTGACAGAATCAATGTGGCAGCTTGGAATTTTGAAAACTTTTTGGAAGAGTTTCACAGAGGCTTAAAAGAGAAAGAGAGTAATTTCATTACTGACCATTGTGGGCAGTTCATTGAGTACCCTACACATGCTACGAAAACAACATGGAAAATAGTTCAGGGGCCGCAAATGTTATTCTCATATCACAACTTTATAACACAAATCTAATTTAATATGCTCCTTTTTGCGACACACACAATGCACCTTATTTATCTGATACTTATTTCCTAACTCCAGTTTACATAGATTAAATGTACAGTTTGTATATGTACAGTATGTTTGCCTCACCTACAAATGCTATGTAAACTGAGAGAAAGTTCTAGAAGACTTCACAGGGAAAAATGTGGTCATTATGCTCATGGGAATTTGTTAGTCATGATTGTTCCAAGAAGCATCTCAACCATAAGTCATCTCATCGCCTTAATTGCGTCTAGATTGGAATGTCCACTAATGTAAGACTATTAGTCTGCTTCTGCAGAACACAGAGTAACCCTGAAGGAGAGGGCTTAGTGTGTATGTGTGTGTGTGTATGTATGAACATCTGAGTGTATGTGTGTGTGTGTGTGTGTGTGTGTGTGTGTGTGTGTGTGTGTGTGTGTAGCGGGGGTACTAGGAGTAGGGGGCTGCAAAAGCAGCACTTTGAGTTATGATGAGGCTACTTTAATGAGGTACTGTGTCCCGCAGCGCCGTACCCCGTCCGGCTCTAGCCTCTCCTCTGTTTCAGCATGATGGGAAAAAAACTACTTGCCTATTTTCCTCTGGTGCCAAAAGTTAATTGAAAACATTTCAGGGGAAAGTATGGTTTTGGGGGCCCCATATGACTCTCATTCCTTCATTATCCCCAGCAATAATAAAGAGGCATTACAATTATTAATGGTTGGAGCCCAGGCCTGCTCTCTTAAAGCGGCAGTACCCTCTTTTGTGACGGCTAACAAAGGCCCATAAATGCATTCGCCACATCACCGTGACAGAGCTGCAGGGTTTCCACAGTTTGCATATTTTTCTTTTTTACATTCAGTGGGAAGGAAACTAATAGCAATTGAAGCACAATACATCATTGGTTCTATTTAGGACTGCAGTCTATTTGAATGTGCACTGCAGTAACAATCAAAATGTTAAGTGAATCGAAGTGTTGAGTGGTTATATAGATCAGCTAATTGTTTATGTTATCTTCAATGGCAAATGATTTTTTAGCTAGGTATCTGCTATGCAGCTTAAAAATGTGTTAGCTTTAATTGGCTATCATATCACATAATTGTAATTCTGATAGTAAACTACTATCTCAAATGTACGCTTCCTAAAACTGTATTTATAAAGAGCTAATAATAAAACATGCATCATGTGCTGTAAAACTGTTCACAGACTCCTTATAAACCAGTATGAAATAGTTTGTTAACCTGATTATATAGCAGATTTAATAATTGAATAATGTGTGTTGTACCTAATACATGTCTTATCATAAAGACGTTTACTCATATACATCAGAAACATCAGGCCTTATAAATGTATTACGTTTAATAGCTGACAAACTATTTAATAATCTTCATAAACAGTTCATAAGCACACCTTCAAATAAAGCCAAGTGAGCGTCACCTAATGTTAAGCATGGAGGCATCACACAGAGAAAGAGAGATACAACTTTGACAGAAGTTTCTCAAGTCCTTCCAAGAAGCCCCTATCTGCAGTCTCTGTCTCTCCCCCAACTCCCCCAACCGCCCCTCTCTCCGAGGAGATGCTGTCAGAGAGAAAGAGAGAGAATGAAGTGCCTGCACATTGTGCCGCTCCACCATTGTGTGTTTCACATTTCCATGACAGTTGTGCCACTCGACTTCTCCTCCATTCACTGGGCTGGAGGGCCCTTGTCCTCCTCCAGAGAGAAACAACATGGCTGCCATCATTGCTCTCAAGTCCCTGTTGTGACAAGTGTTGAAGGAGAGGGTGATGTCCCCTCTCTCTTTTTCTGGCTCTCAGTGGTGCCAAATGAGAAAACAAATGTGATAGCATATCTCCACACAAATAAAATGGTTTCCTTGGTGGTAGTGGGTTAGGCTAGGCTACAACTTCTACAAGTAGACCTGGGTCTATAACCAGCCATTTAAATTCTGTTCAGGGTGATAAATAATAATAGTAAAGTTGACGCAAAAGTGTTTAAAAAGAAAAACACTTCTACTTTGTTACACATACATAGCAACAGCCGGTAGCTAACACACACCACACACAGCAACAGCAGTCCAATCAGAGTGCATTTGTAATGGCTACTTAAGTCTCCATTCATCCGGACACAGCTTTCCTTTCCCCGTCTCCTCTCTGTGTGAAGACTTTTAACAAACACATGGGGTGAGGATAAATAAACTAGCCAGGCCCTTCTTGGCTCCATTTGAGCAGCAATCCCCAGGAGATGGAGTCTTTCTTCCTCATGTTTAAACAGTCTTTCAGCATTAACAGTTTATGCCTTCAGCAAACATTGATGTTTACAAGGTCAAGTGTATATCGATCCGACTAAGAACTTTTCTTTTCCTCTTTATTTGCTCCTGGATTTAGGCAACATTCAGTAGCTCAGATCAACTGATGGTTCGTAATGAGGGGTTTTTGTGATGGTAGAAAGGATTGGTACAGCTGTCAAAAGACTTGAGAGACACCATACTGAAATAGCCTGCTGCCCAGTGCTCATATGGCCACTTAAGGTAGAGTTAAGAGTGAAACAATCAAGAGTCAAATAGCACTTTAAAGGGGCAATCCCCAGTTGAAACAATAACAAGCTGAAGGGATGGGGCTGGAGAAATGTAACCACTCTCAAATTGACCATCCATGATATCGAAATTATAGTTCGAACTATGTTTTGAGGCTATAGTGTTTGTTTACATTTACTTTATTTAAAACCATTGGAGTAAAAAAAGCTTATATTGTGGGTGCTGATGGGGTACGACAGTTGAACTAAGCTCATGAGGCATTTATATGCTATATTCTTCAAGAATCAAATGGGTTCATAATTTATAAGTCCAAAAATGGATGTAGCAAAACATGGTTAAAACTATTATTTTGATATCATGGATGGTCAGTCGTTGCATCCATAGCTCTGTCTATGAATTTGAGAGTCTTTACATTTCTCCAGCCCCATCCCTCTGCTTTTTACAGAAACGGGTGAGGAGAACGCGTTATTGTCTCAACAGCTGATTGCCGCTTTAAAGCAAGACTTATATTTTTATATTTCCCTATAGTACTGAAATAGCCTGCTGCCCAGTGCCATACGGCCATATAAGGAAGAGTGGAGTAAAATAATCAAGAGTCATATAGCACTTTAAGCAAGAAGACTTATATTTTCACCTCTGTGGACACAAAGGAATATACAATAGTCACAGTGAAGCATTTCACGTCATTTCTATACAGCGCAAATCTCTTCTTAGCAGTAATAAACACATATCTCTGGAAACAAAATCAATATCATACAATAAACTGTACAATTTAACTTTACAGATTTTGACATATAAAAATAATCTCCCTTAAAACTTTTTCAAAACTTTATATTGATACTGAGCTTAACGAAATGTGTGGGACATGATTAAGGCTAGTAATGTAGGCTAACCAACCAATCAAACTATTGTCAGGTGCTTGCGTCACATGCATTGCCTAGATGATTATCCACTGACTAGAATTTAAATGACATCTTAATGACATGTATGTCTATGTCTATTGTCTAGCTCATAAGAAAATAAGACAACTTGATTAGTCTCTCCACATTACAACCAAGTGACTAAGAAGAGAATGTTTTAAATACTGTTGTTTTCATTATTGTCTCGAAACAGCAGTATAGCAGCGTACTCTTCTAAGTCACTTGTCTATCCACATGAAAGAAAATGTTGTGTCAAACTTCCATAAATTGTAGGCTATTTTGTGATGATACACAAGGTAAGGCAATAGCTGATGAAATAGGCCTATAACATTCTTCAAGGTTTGGTTAAAATATTACATAGCCTAGAGGTGCACAGCTGTCTTGAAATTATTCTATAAACCTTTTAGATTCACCCCAAAAAAGTATACATTTGAAATATAAAATGTTTTTACCTAAATTACTGACCCATAGCATATCAGCACAGAGACAGAGTGAGACAGAGACCAGACGGAATGTTGGGAAGAAGCTCCATGAAGAAGACAGCAGAGCAAAGGCCATAAAATCCTTCATACACAAAAAGTATATGCTAAAGCAGGTGTGCTGGTGTTATAACTCTTTCATGAGCTATTCTGTCTGTGTCAACATTTCACAGGCCTCTCTTTCTCGAACAACTTTCCCAACAGCTGAATCAACTGGGGTAGGCTGCACTATCAGATAAGATTCATTAGAACCAAAATGGTGGCCACAGCAGCAGTCCAAACAACACCATGACAGGCGGATCTGGATGAACCACTATTGTTTTCCACATATATATAATCCTCCATATCATCATAATCATCTTCAGAGTCGTCCTCTGAATCAGAAAACCCGCTGCCCGCGTATCTGTCCATAGAGTCAAAGCAAAAGTTTTTCATACTAACTTTGACATACTCGCATATGGTCCTCTCTGTGCCATCACAAACACAAGTATCAAGTTGTTGTGCTTTGGGTATATTGCGCATGTTGGCAATCACCCTCCTGCAATCGTCCGAACATCTCTCCCCTCCGAAAAGTTTACGGCAGTGAAACAAATAGTCGCGCATTGCCGAGCTGCATTGGGAGTCTCTCTCGCATTGCCGCCGGGCTTCCGTGCAGCCCATGTTGCTTGTCCGAGGCAGGCACGGCTCTATGGCGCGTTTGGTGCTTTGGCAGACGGGGTCCGAGGCGCAGTCACAGTCCTCCAGAGACGGGCCGGTCTCGGTTAGATTCAGCTGGATAAGGGACGAGATGCAGTGGCTGGGACACTTCTTCCTATCCCTGTTGATAACAGGCGCACAGGCGTAAAGATATTGGTCATATGCGTAGTGGCATTCAGACTCTCCATGACACTTCATGATGGCTTGCCAACAGATGAGCCGACGACCATGAGTAGGGGACCCGATGCAGAGACAGGCGAACAGGACAAACGCGCAGCATAAATACAAAGTTGATCTCCCAGTCCACTTTATAAACCCGGCAAAACTTGCCATTTCGATGTAGACTGATCCAAATAAGATTTCAACATATGGATTTGTGTAGCGGTATCTACATTAAATCTGTGTCAAAAAGTAGTAATCCAAATCCATTCCCTCGCATTAAGGATGCTCCAGTGGAGAATGAACGAGGTTCAGCAAATTATTTGCAGTGATACGCCAAAGGTGTGAAAACCGCACATCGCTTGCAATTTGTTAGATTGTCACTTTTCCCCAAAGTTTGATACACTGTCACAATAAAAGTTAAAAGGCACAAATGAACTCTCCACTTGTCTTCACAACAGTAGCGGCTTCACTAGAACTCTTCAACTTCTGCGTTCCATTGCTTTGCCGCACTGACAAATGAAGAAGAAGCAGAAAGAAGAGACACGTTTTTGTCGTTTTACCTTTCAGAAATGCAAACTCCGTTCCAGGTAAAGTGTTAAGATGTATCCACTCATGTAGCATGCCATTCGGTGCCTTCTTCAGCTTTAAAAATATGTAAAGGAATGAGGAATGCGAAGTAAACGATACGCCCCATAGAATAGTTACGACTGTTGAGTGTCTTTCTCGTTCCCCCCACTGGTTCCTCCGCATCCCTTGACTAGAACCTCCGTGCCCTATTGGTCAAATTCGTTTTTGTGATTTTCTACGTGGTTCAGGGGCAGTGACGTGAGGTTGAAACGTGACTAATGAATGAGCAGGGGAAAATGGATTATACATTTGGATACTATAGATATAACTTTTGGAACTGAACTGCTATAACTACCTATGAGTATTTTCTTTATTTCATCTCCTAATTCTACCTATTGTCAATTATTTCCCAAACATTATTCAAACTTTATATATTACATTAAAAACATAGGAAACATGAATATACTGTATAGGCTGATAAATATTGAAAGAAGACATGAGAGATAGTCCAAGAGAAGTATGCCATCCATCACATTAGGCAAGTAGCCTAACCCATAGTTCAACTACCAGTGAAACAAAACTGTGAATATTGACCTTTAATCACACAGAATAATTACCAGTCCTTCTAAAGGTGGTGAAGCACAGCGTCTTTAGAAACGCTGTGGTCGTGTTGACTAACTATGGGCCCTGGTCAGAAATAGTGCACTACATACAGAATAGGGTGCCAATTGGGACACAGCCTCTGAGGACAGCTGCTATAACACATGCTACTTCTCTTCACCCCTTCCCTTCCACCCTCAATGCAACATAAGTGAGTATTTACACAAGCCTTAAGGGCCTTCCCATGTTTCAGCACACGCGTGAATTCCACAAGGCACCACATGGACATGCCAATAAAGACATGACAGCCAGGGAGGACAGGAGGGTGAAGAAAAGAGAAGAGCTAGCGCTGTAAACAGAGCAGTGAAAAAGAGAAGTATAACCTTTTTTCACTTCATAAAACAAACACCTCAATTATCTTGCTCATATATACTCAGCTGTTCACCTCCTAAAGATAGCTCTTCTTTTTGATAACATTATTTCCTAGTTGTTGATGGTTCATCAAAAGACTGTACAGGCCAGGGAGAGTGAAAATGATCAACGGGAGCACAGTATCAAAGCACATAAACAAACATGCTGCCAGTGAGTGACTGAGTGAGTGGTCAAACCCAGAGCCACTGTGTCTGAGTATGAGTGAAATGTGATAATTGAGTGATAGGCTAAATGCATCCATTGGTGTTAGTGAATCATCATAAATCACAGAGGCTGTGTCTGAAATGGCACCATTTGAACAAGTCCCCGAAGAAAAAGAAAGTGTGTGTATGGCCGTCTGTGTTTCCTCTGTCCCCTTCAGCCGTCGCTAGCCGCCTCAGTGCCCCTGTGACCTGTAGGACCCCACCCCTCCGTCCAGACCGGAGGCCAGGCCAGAAGGCCAGCAGTCAGACAGAACAAGACAGAAACCAGAGGGAACCACTCAGTCACTGTGATACCCCTGCCCCTCTGACCCCCTGTCAAATCAATCCGATCTGACCACAAAGATCTGGCAGCTGTCTGGAGACCCCAGGACCCTCTACCCCAATTACTGAGATTAGAGAGTATTCAAGCCGTGCACAGGCAGAGCAGAATAAGAAATCCCACCCCTGACTCCTCAAGTCTCTCCCCCTCTCTCAGACCCCTCAACTCTCTCTCTCCTTCCTCCTCTCTCTCAGTCTCCCTCTCTGTCTCTCTCTCCCTCTCCCTCTCTCTCTCTCCCTCCCTCTCTCTCCCTCCCTCTCTGTCTCCCCTCTCTCCCTCTCTGTCTCCCCTCTCTCCCTCTCTGTCTCCCCTCCCTCCATCTCTGTCTCCCTCTCCCCTCTCTCCCTCTCTGTCTCTTTCTCCCTCTCTCTCCCTCCCTCTCTGTCTCCCCTCTCTCCCTCTCTGTCTCCCCTCCCTCCATCTCTGTCTCCCTCTCCCCTCTCTCCCTCTCTGTCTCTCTCTCTCCCTCTCTGTCTCTTTCTCCCTCTCTCTCCCTCCCTCTCTGTCTCCCCTCTATCCCTCTCTGTCTCCCCTCTATCCCTCTCTGTCTCCCTCTCACCCCCCCTGTCTCCCCTCTCTCCCTCTCTGTCTCCCCTCTCTCCCTCTCTGTCTCCCTCTCTCCTCTCTCTCTCCCTGTCTCTCTTTCCCTTTATCTTCTATAAATTACCGCCATATCACCCTAGCAGCCCAAGCCACACCAGCTGGCATACCAGAGCAACAGGCCTGCAGGAGAGTCATCTTACAGCCACATCAAAGACGAGGTCATCTGAAAAACGTGACATCCTCCAACTGGCGAATCACTCAAGGGTGTCCACTATACCCTCCAAGAGGGTGACGTCATGCCATATTAGCAGAGAACGATTTTACTGCATGTTAGTATATTGTTGTTGTTTGTAGGAGTGAGGATGAGAGGTACGGTTTTGTACACTTCAATGAGATGATTCAATTTGTTTTCTATTTTAGAAAATAGCTACAACGACATACCATATCACTTTTTTCTCAAACCAATCATTCTCTCCTCTAATCTAAAGCTGCATGCCTTAAAACACAGCAGTCATGTTATACTCTACATATTCCCAGTTGGTGTGAAAGTGTTGTTTTGGCTGTTTGAGGTCTTGTGTGGCTTCCCCCCATCCTGCTGATCAAAGGCACAAGGCTATAGCATGCTGGGAGGGACCCCATTGTATGCTGCAGTTTAATATGAGCTGGTCTGTTCAAGCAAAACAGATGGATGGATCCAAATGAATGCACATGTTTATACACACTTCAATATGAGTGTTATACATGTTTCACACCACCTCTGAATCAATCACTTTCTTCTACGTGGCCTCTGGTTAAATGTAGTGCACTATGTAAGAGAATAAGTGCCATTTCAAACGCAGCCTTTGTGATTTCCAATGATTCACTCCCAAATGGCTACATTTTCCACATTACTGAAATATTACATTGCAGTCATACACTATCTTCCTTGAATGAGTTGAATTTTCTAAAAACACTAAAGTAAGAAGTCTTCACATGCAGTGTTCCTGAACGCGTTTCACTTTTACGGGAAGAGAGCATAACACATAGCAGAAATCCCATCAGCGTTGGACTGAGGCCAGGCACGAACAAGGCCCGGATTCACTTAAGCCAGTGTGTCTGTGTGTGTGATAGAGCAGGCAGCTGCTTTCCCCCCTCTATGGACCCCTCAATTACTAACTCCAATATTTTACTGTCTGACATTCTTTACTCTTATACCTTACTCTATTTTCAGACTGTTTCATTGGGAGAAACCCTAGGATATTGAGGATAATGTAGTTTCAAGATAATGTATCCCAGGTTTCTTCCTTCAACTGTTAAAAGTTCACTATCCTTCATATTTATACCTTACTATATTTTCTGCTCGTTTCTTTGGAAAAACATTAGAGATTGAGGATAATGTGTGATAATATATGTATCCCTTGTGAACATTATGTATCCCAGGTTTCTCCTTCAACTGTTAAAAGTTCACTGACTGACTATCCTATCCTTCCATATTTGTTTGGAAGGCGTTTTTGTCCTGTTAGTTCAGCGTTCTGTACATGCGGTTGCTCGTGGCGACTCGTGTATAATAACGATTCCAGAATTGGAATGTGGTTCTCAAGAATAGATGCAGAAATACTCATGCAAAGACAGACATGCTCTTCACTGTGTCTCCACTGCTGTCAGAAGTCATTACATACAAGCCGCCGTGCCAGAATCCCTCACTGAGCTCTGCATTCAAGTTCTTCCAACCCTGGAGAGAGAGGGAGAGAGAGAGAGGAGGATGAGGGAGAGAGAGAGAGAGAGGGGGGAGAGAGAGAGAGAGAGAGAGGGAGAGAGAGAGAGGGAGAGAGAGAGAGAAAGGGGGAGGGTGAGAGAGAGAGAGAGAGGGGGGTGAGAGAGATAGAGAGGGGGAGGGGGAGAGAGCGAGTGGAAGGTAGGGAGAGGGGGAGAGGGGGAAGAGGGCCAATATGAAAAAGTTGCCAAATGTTTTTCTTCCCTGCTTTTATTTAAGCTCTCCCCTTCGTTGCTAATGGAAACGGCAATAAAAAAAGATTTCTATCTGGCTGATTTCAATTTCCTCCTTTAAAAAAATTGATGGCATTAGTATAAGGGTGTCTTTGTAAAATCAGAACATTTGAATTAATCAATGACTTCAGATTTCTTGTTCAGACATGTGGCTTTGATTGTACTTTAGGGGGAGAGAGAATAAGAGAGGGAGACAGAAAGAGAGAGAGAGAGAGAGAGAGAGAGAGAGAGAGAGAGAGAGAGAGAGAGAGAGAGAGAGAGAGAGAGAGAGAGAGAGAGAGAGAGAGAGAGAGAAAGGGGGGTAAATAGGGAGACAGAGACAAAGAGGGCGAAAGAGAGCAGATAGCAAAAGGTAGAGAGAGAACGAGAGCTGTAGTGTATAGGGT